AATACTAAGACAATATTGAGGTATTATTTTTCACCTGTGAGACTTTAAAAGGTTTAAGAAAATGATAAAATCCATTGTTGACAAGGGTGCAGGAAACCAGATACCCTCACACTCTGCTGGTCAGAATACACTGCCCTTTCTAGCAGACAACTCCCTTTGACCCAGCAATTCTACTTCTGCCAACTTACACTAATAATCAGACAAATTTTCAGACACATGTGTAAAGATTATGATAATAATAAACTCCCAACAAAAGATGTTAAATTGTTATACATCCATACAATAGAAAACTATATAGCCACGAAAAATGATACAGACTACACAGACTTGGAAATATGATCACAAAATTCTCAAAACAAGAATAGACATGAAAAACACTGAGAATAAGATGACTCCACTTTCAAATAGACATAACATCTGGAAGGATATATACCAAAAAGTTACTGCGTTTATCTTGAAGCAGGATAGGATTTGGATGTCTTTAAACACTTCCATGTTTCCAAATTTTTATGAGCATGTGTTAGTTTAATAAATTAAAAGATGTTCATTTTAAAAGAGTAAGTGACATATGGGCTAGACCTCAATGTCTACATCAATTTGACTTTCCTAAGTAATTTATTTTAAAGATCCTCTAAATCAAGAATAAGTTTCAGAAAAGTTATTGCCTAGCTAGAATTTCAATTTTAATTGACCAAAATATGTCATAGAACAAATAAAATTTTAAACAATTGAATAATTACAATATATACAAAAACTTAGGCATCAGATACATATCCAGATCCATTCAGGAGTAAATACAACTTAATTGTTAAGGCTCTGGAGTAAGAAACTAGGTCCAAATCTCAGATGTGTGTACTCTTTCAACCTCTCTCTGTTACATTTACAAGACTGTCGAGAGCACAGTAAGCTCTCAATGTTAGCATTTATTAGCCATCATCATTATTATCCTCATTGCAAAAGGCCTGGCCAATGTTCAAATTAGGTAACAAAAACAATTCAAAGGCAGATAGGTTCTATGAGAGGGAGTTTGTTAACTGTGTTAATAGTGTACTTTGCCTACTTCAAACAGGACATTTCTAAGCATAGGTAGTTATGTTGAGACCTTTTACCATGAGTTAGGGTTTGTTTTAGTATGGCTTTACAATTCTATCAAGTTTTGCTCTATGTATTTCTAAGCTACATATAAAGGTACCATGACTATTAAATCTTCTTAGCAGAGGCCAAGAGTTCATGCCTGTAATCCTAGCACTCTAGGAGGCTGA